GCAAGATGATTTCGATTGAGATACTTTATCGCGGGCGAGACCATTTTCTTTAATAGGAGTTACAGCGAAGAGTTATTGACAGGAAATGAATAGATAGGATTACGTATCGTGCGTGTGTACACACTCACACAAACGCTACGTGGTAATCGTTTGTAGAGATAAAGACCGTACTTGTGTATGTATTACAAATATAGATTAGAGGTACTGGAAAAAGATATTGTTGTACAGCGCAAATAATGTTCGTAAAAGAAGGTGTGTTAGCTAGAAACCGATAAAGCGGTATTATAAAAAATCAACATTACATTACGAAACAATTTCCTATTAAGCAAAAATATACAACTTTATTATTTGGGTTGTTAATAAATAAACCTGTAATTGTGTTTTTTTAATTACCCACCGACGTTTGTATATAACACATTAAGTAATAACCTAATTCACTCTCTAAATATTTAAATATAATCTTGATGCTTTAAAGCACACATTTAAATAATCCTAATTTTTGGGTTGGGTTAAGATTGTTTTTTTAAGATAATTTTCCCATTCCTTTCACACGTTTCTTCTCCTTCTTTTTTCTAATCCTTGTATTACAGAGTTAATACGTTCTTGAGTAGTTGGCGAGAAGTAAGTTTATCATTTCTGAGGCGTGACGTCTCCAGATAAAGACGTGCGATACGCATCTCATCCGGCAGGATACCGTCTGGGGAATTAAAATCCTCCGACTCCAAGGATACCGGCGGTAATAGGAAATGCATTGGACGGCTGGTTATTAAAACCGTCGATCCTCCAATTATTTTATTTTAATTCCGGTCGCACGTCCTGTATAAGCATTAAATTCACCTTGGATAAAAGATGTCGCGACATAACATTTATCACAATAATTGATCAATTAAGTAAAATAAATATCTTCTTGAGTCGATCAATTTTTAAAATTTCTCATTTAGAAAATCATTTACTGGTGATTACTCTTAAGAAGGTTAAACCCGAATATTTCTAATTCTAGGTCTAGTGTTAGTTCTAATGCCAGTTTTATTTGTTAGCTTTAGTTTTAGCTTAGCTGTTATTCAGCGCTAGATCGTTAGGACATTTTTAGTTTCTTTGAAATGTTTTACATAAAAAAGGTACCCTTTGTTAAAAGTTGTATCATTAAACGCTCTTGAGATAAAGAAAGATGTGTTAACAAACACTAAAAATCATTAAAATAGAGGATATTTAATTCCGGAGCTTGTATATTTTATAAAAGTGAATATATTCGAAATTCGAGTACATTTTTGAATTCCTCGGAATATTTTACGTAAAAAAGCATTTTTCATTAAAAGTTGTAGCACAAACCGTTTTTGTGATATCAACGATTTTGTAGTAAAAATACAAAAATTGAAGATATCGTAATTCTACACTCCTTAACATCTAAACCACTGATTCAATTTTAATTTTGAGTACATTTTTGAATTCTTTGAAGTATTTTAAATAAAAAAGGTTCTCTTTGTTCAAGGTTGTATCATTATTGAGATAAAACAGATTTTGTGTTAACAAACACTAAAAACCGTCAAAATGAGAGATATATTCATTCCGGAGCCTGTATGTTTTATGAAACTGAATAGATTTGAATTTTAAGCACATTTTTGAATTCTTCGGATTATTTTACGTAAAAAAGCACTGTTAATTAAATGTTGTATCACAAACCGTTTTTATGATATCAACGACTTTGTAGTAAAGACACAAAAATTGAAGATAACGTAATTCTACACTCCATAACATCTAAACTACTAATTCAATTTTAATTTTGAGTACATTTTTGAATTCTTTGAAATGTTTTAAATAAAACAATACTGTTTGTTCAAAGTTGTATCATTAACCGTTCGTAAGATAAAAAAGTTTTTGTGTTAACAAACACTACAAAACGTTAAAATGAGGGATATTTTTATTCCGGAGCCTATATATTTTATGAAACTGAATAGATTCGAATTTTGAGTACATTTTTGAATTCATCGGATTATTTTACGTAAAAAAGCGTTTTTAGTTAAAAGTTGTATCACAAATCGTTTTTATAATATCAACGATTTTGTAGTAAAAATACAAAAATTGAAGATAACGTAATTCTACACTCCATAACATCTAAACCACTGATTCAATTTTAATTTTGAGTACATTTCTGAATTCTTTGAAGTATTTTAAATAAAAAAGGTACTCTTTGTTCAAAGTTGTATCATTAATCGTTATTGAGATAAAACAGATTTTGTGTTAACAAACACTAAAAACCGTCAAAATGAGATATATTCATTCCGGAGCCTGTATGTTTTATAAAACTGAATAGATTTGAATTTTGAGTACATTTTTGAATTCCTCGGATTATTTTACGTAAAAAAGCACTATTAATTAAAAGTTATATCACAAACCGTTTTTATGATATCAACGATTTTGTAGTAAACATGCAAAAATTGAAGACATCGTATTTTTACACTCCATAATATCTAAACAACTGATTCAATTTTAATTTGGAGTACATTTTTGAATTCTTTGAAGTATTATAAATAAAAAAATACCCTTTGTTCAAAGTTGTATCATTAACTGTTCTTGAGATAAAAAAGATTTTGTGTTAATAAACACTAAAAAACGTTAAAATGATGGATATCTTCATTCCGGAGCCTATATATTTTATAAAACTGAATAGATTTGAATTTTGAGTACATTTTTGAATTCCTCGGATTATTTTACGTAAAAAAGCACTGTTAATTAAAAGTTGTATCAATTACCGTTTTTATGATATCAACGATTTTGTTGTAAAAATACAAAAATTGAAGATATCATAATTCTACATTCCATAAGATCTAAACCACTGATTCAATTTTAATTTTGAGCACATTTTTGAGTTCTTTGAAGTATTTTAAACAAAAGTGGTATTCTTTGTTGAAAGTTGTATCATTAATCGTTATTGAGATAAAAAGGTTTTTGTGTTAACAAACACTAAAAAACGTTAAAATGATGGATATTTTCATTCCGGAGCATATATATTTTATAAAACTCAATAGATTTGAATTTTGAGTACATTTTTGAATTCATCGGACTATTTTACATAAAAAAGCACTATTAATTAAAAGTTGTATCAGAAATCGTTTTTATGATATCAACGATTTTGTAGCAAAAATACAAAAATTGAAGACATCGTAATTTTACACTCCATAGCATCTAAACCACTGATTCAATTTTAATTTTGAGTACATTTTTGAATTCCTGGAAGTATTTGAAATAAAAAAGGCACTCTTTGTTCAAAGTTGTATCTCTAACTGTTCTTGAGACAAAAAAGATTTTGTGTTAACAAGCACTAAAAAACGTTAAAATGATGAATATTTTCATTCCGTAGCCTATATATTTTATAAAACTGAATAGATTCGAATTTTGAGTACATTTTTGAATTTCTTGAGTTATTTTACGTAAAAAAGCACTATTAATTAAAAGTTGTATCACAAACCGTTTTTATGATATCAACGATTTTGTAGTAAAAATACAAAAATTTAAGACATTGTACTTCTACACTCCATAACATCTAAACCACTAATTCAAATTTAATTTTGAGTACAATTTTGAATTCTTTGAAGTATTTTGAACAAAAAAGGTACATTTTGTTCAAAGTTGTATCATTAACCGTTTTTGAAATAAAAAAGATTTTATGTTAGCAAACACTAAAAAACGTTAAAATGATGATTTTCATTCCGGAGCCTATATATTTCATAAAACTGAATAAATCCGAATTTCGAGTATATTTTTGAATTCCTCGGATTATTTTACGTAAAAAACCACTGTTAATTAAAAGTTGTATCACCAACCGTTTATGTGATATCAACGATATTGCAGTTAAAATACAAAAATTGAAGATATCGTAATTCTACACTCCATAACATCTAAACCACTGATTCAAATTTAATTTTGAGTATATTTTTGAATTCCTTGAAGTATTTTAAATAAAAAAGGTATTCTTTGTTCAAAGTAATATCATTAACCGTTCTTGAGATAAAAAACATTTTGTGTTAACAAACACTAAATAACGTTAAAAAGATGGATATCTTCATTCCGGAGCCTATATATTTTATAAAACTGAATAGATTTGAATTTTGAGTACATTTTTGAATTCCTCGAAGTATTTTACGCAAAAAAGCGTTTTTCATAAAAAGTTGTAGCACAAGCCGTTTTAATGATATCAACAATTTTGTAGTAAGAATACAAAAATTGAAAACACCGTAATTCTACACTCCATAATATCTACTCCGCCGCTGACGCAATTTTAATTTTGAATACATTTTTGAATTCTTTGAAGAGTTTTAAATAAAAAAGATACTCTTTGTTAGAAGTTGTATCATTAATCGTTCTTATCTATAATAATAAGTTCTGGTGCTAGAGTTAGTTCTTGTAAGTCAAACCTAACAAAATCCATCAATTGTTGAGTACCATATTATCAAATATAGATGAAAAGTATCAACTCTAATCAAAAGTCCTAAAAAATATATTGATTATAATAAAACCAATAAAACTTAATACATTTTCTAAATAATTAATTTTTTGTTTGGGAAGTTAAAGAAGTGGGCCGACAGAAAGTGTTTCTTTTCTTGGTTTCCTTCCACCTCCACATTGGCGGCAACGGCCACAACGACGACGTGGAAGTGATTAATGTCTACGATCGGGCTGTTAAAGCCGCAACGGGCACAAATCATCTTACAGAAAGAGGGCCGCGATGTTATCCGACAGGAAGCGGATATGATTATTTTAGAACGGCTTTCTGTCCGACTTCACTTCGCAAGAATTGTCAAGGCAAGTTTACATAATAACAACAAAATTTAAACATAATTTCAATAACATCTTTTTTTAACAATCGTTTATTTAAGTAGCGAATTTTTACAGAAAATTAATTTTTATTTGCAAGGGGAAGTCCACTAAACGGAAGCGGTTTTTTTTTTGTTATGAATGGAGGTAAATTCTTTATCAGTTTAGCGGTTTGCAAAATAACGATATTAAATACTAAACAATACAATTTATTATTAAAAAAGAAAATAACATTACAGCTGCGTGTATGTACAACATTTAAAGTTAGTAAAAGCTATTTTTTTGTGTAAATTATCACAACTTTTTTTAAATTACTAACAGAAAACTTTGTTCAGTCTGACTTTTTAAAAATTATTATAATAACCATTTTTGAGCAATTAATATAACTAATTATTAATTATTCTTTAATTAAATCGTTAAATGGAAACTCTTGGAACACGCCATTAAATATATCTGTGAAAGCAGTTGAAACTAAATCGTTAACTAAAGGCCTTAAAATCATGAACCCTGGTGGCCAAGCCGCGTTTATGATTCTATCCATTAATATTTCTAAAAAAATATTTCTTTTTAATTTCAATCAATTAAATTAAGAAATAAACAAGAAAATTAATTTATAAATTAATTACCTAAGATTCTTCTTCCTCCCAATAAATGAGAAATATGCAATTTCATATCTCTGCAGGTGTGAACTGTAACCTTTACCCTCAAGGATTTATCTCTTCCTCTTCCCCTTGGCTTACTAATTTGAGTGGTTTGAATAAAATCGTATAGAGCTAAATTCCACGTTCCAGCATTTGATAGTTTATTCCCGAAAACGCTACCGGTAAAGTCATAGTGACCATTTAGGAACTTTTCCGGGAAAAATTGAGTGTATTCGATGAGATTTTTATTAAAATCACTCCTAAAAATAATTAAAAAAATTAATTAAATTAATTATTAAAGCAAGATTAAGGTGGGTTAAGTGGTGACATCTCTTCGCAAATATTCTAGGCTCTTTTAAATTGTTAAGAAAGAAATCTGTAATTTTAAAAAATTTCAAAAATAATCTTTAATATTATTTATTTTAAATGTTTTAAAGCGATGGAAATAATATTTTATGTGAAATATGTTCTTTATTTACCCAAAAAAACAGATTATAGATATTAATCTGAATTTTCTTGTTTAATTTAGATTTTATCTGGAGTTTTTGATAAATTTGATGTTGCACTATACGGATATCCATACTATAATTAATGATTTCGAGATACTAGGTAATTATTGGGATTCTGGGCCAGCTCTATTTTAACCCATCAATCATTGTTATCCAGTTAATCAACTTCATCGACTGAACAATACAACGCTTTGAATTTAAAGAGGCTGTATTAAAATAGACATAATTCAAATAGGTGAAAAAAGTTCTGTATGAACTGTGCTATCAAAAATAAAATTCGATGTTATTCTGTTCAAACTAGAATTTGTACATTAAGATTTGAAAGTTTCTCGATGATTGAAAGATTGTAGTAGAATACAAATGCAAAGATTATGTTGGTGATAACTTAAAAATTAAAAGTAGTATTCGGCTAATATGCAAATCTCTATTGATATTTCTCATCGAAAAAACTTAAAAAGAAATAAAGATATAACCAGAGTGCGCTGGAAAGAACTTCCAGGACACAGACAGGCGAACTCCGTCGCAAAAGAGAACCAAAGAGGTTTTATGTTTCAGCATATATCTCTAGAGTACCATATTTTCAACATTGGACAAGCTGAGGATGAAGCTTGTCGACTTTGCAATGACAAGTCAGAGACTGCTGAACATATTCTGCGTGACTGAGTCGCCAGAGGTCGCCTAAGACACAAAATTCTTGGAAAGGTTTGTTTGAAACCTATTGAGATAAATGAACAAGACCTTGGAGCAATACTAAGGTTCATCAAGGATCTACATATGCCCTAAGCTTTTGGAAGCTGTAAGTTACAATAGATCTTGTGAGCGTGGCAGCAACCAAAAAATGTCATCAGAAATTTTCTTAATTCAGTTTTACAAACAGCGAAGTGTCGTTAAAAATAACTGGAACACATCTAAATGTTGATCATTATCGATTTCATGTTTTTCAGCCGATATTGACGGATGCCGAAGGATGTTGGGAGATATCCAGGATGATAGTGTTCAAGGCTAAGGGTCATTTGAAGAGATATTTCAATATTGACGAAAACTAGGGTTATCTACTATCCGTGCCAAAAGTTAAGGCTGCTCAGTTTAGAAATCGATATTTACGCAACCGTTGATGAAAGCTGAGGTTTCTTGCGACCAAGGCATTGCAATATGTACTTATTTAGATCACGCTGAATATCTCAATAAGCATTTCAATCGAACGTACAGTTTCACACAATACACTGAACCCATCGTCATATTGCTTTAAATCATTAAGGTTGTTGCCAATATTTGTTATGCTCATGATGTTTCTCTTCTTAATTACCTATTTATTTATCTATCTTAATATTTTGAATAAGCCTGAGTACTGTATTAATTCTAAGAATGATGTAGTCCACTTGTCTATCTTATTCTTGAGAATACTAATCTTAAAGAGAACAACCCAATTATAGCCTTGGAATAGGCTCCTCCTGTGAAGCATCAGCGAGGTTCAAGTGATATTTTAGGACTCAAAGCACGTCTATGTGCCGACCGTATGGAAGGATATTCCTATTTGATTAGATTTTTTCGGTTAATGCCAGTTATGTTCACCAAACAAAAATAACAGTCGTCGTGGTGGTTCAAGAGTTCCGTCCAGATCATAGCGGTTTCGTACCTCAAGCTGTTCCTTTTCTTATTTGTCCACAAACTTAGAAACTCAACACAGGTTTTGCATCGCTTTTGCGGAATCCAAGGCTTGTCTTTCATTTCCAGTGTGTGACCAAAGCAATTTTTGTAAGCCTCTATTACGAACGCTGTCACATTCAAACGGTATTCTTTAAATATATACTCTCCACAAATGAAACAAAAGTGATTTGGATCATTGACACAAACTCTTCTTAACGATGCCATATCAAATTATATTAAGAAAACTTAATATTTTCTTAATTACAAGCAAATTAACACATTAACACAGCGATTTTTTCGTGAAAGCTATATCTCGTAAACAAGAGCTGTTACAAAAAAACTGAGGGTATATTTGAAATCAGCGACGTCAAATTAGTAAATATCACGTGATAAAAGTCAGTCAGCAGACAAAAGTTGCCCATATTGTTGTGCAGTGTTATGAAAGTAAAGACTTGACAACTTTGTTTGTCGATGATAACATATTAGACGTGGTGGCGAATGAAATTAACCGGTATGCCAAACAGTATTCAATTCATAGTATATTGCAAGAAAAAAAATAGTTGAAGAGATCGTAACTTTTTTGATATTGTGCTATGAGTGGGTTTAGATAAAATGCAATCCTTGGATGTATACATATTTCCAACAATGAACATTTGATAAAGATCTTTTGAGGAGGTATGTATTTACGAGACAAAGGTTCCATTTGAAGTCTTGACAATGTGTGCCCAGAAAAGACACTGATTCGGCATAAAGTTATACAAATTATTCCTCAAAGGTGATTACACTTGGAATTTGAAAGTGTATGCTGGGAAAGAAAATATTCCACGTGGATAGTTAACTTCTACTCAAACTGAGAACGATGTACGATGTTAATTCTGTACAAGTGTTCAATTAACCCATAAGCTAAATAACAATAAAACGCATCTAGTCGGGACGCTACGCAAAAAAAAAGAATATTTAACTGTAAAACGCAGCAGTTTTTTTTTTTATTTATTTATCTCATGTGGGTCCAGAAACAGGTCGAACCCAATAACACTGTACCACAAACAACCAATTGTATACAAACAAAATTACAGTTCACAACAATAATAATGAATTAATATTAATGGTACAAAAGTGAACAAAAGGAAAAAACTAAAACTAAGTTTAGGTGATATAAATATATCATAAATCAAATATCAAATGAACGCTCGAGGCAACACACCAACTGCAGCAAAGAGCAGTTATTTAAATGCATAGAAAGAATGCTGAAACAGATCTATGTTAACACAATTTGCTGATCTTGTCATTCTCGATAAAGGAAAGTTTTGTCAGACATTGGTTTTAGGAGTAGGTGTCATAAATAGAAAGTCAAAGCGAAGTAATCTCGGAGGAACATGAACACATATAGAACCAACAAGCATTATAGAATTACACTTGTTGTGCAAAAGTTTGTAAAAATATAACATATATAAAAATATTGCCTGTAGACATAGGCAAAATAGAGATTTCTAATTGCATCAATGTTAGAAAAAGCTACCGTGGATCTCATAATAAATCCTAACATACACCAGGCTTTGGAGACAACAGAATCAATATGTTTATCAAATAATAATTTATAATCAAATGCAACACCCAAATCTCTAATAAATGAGACACGGTGCAACCTCTCACCAGCGACGCTATAATTGTAGTGGATTGTGTTTACCCCCATAGAGAAGGAAATAATATTACACTTTGATAATTAGTTAATCTTAATAAATAATTTAATCTAATAATCTTTGATAATTAGTTAATTTGATGATTAGTTTAATGAAAGGCGATTATTTAAGCAAAAAGCATGTAGATTGTTTAAGTCAGATTGCAGTCTAGAACAATCAAGAGGTGAGGAGATGCGGAGAAAGAGTTTTAAATCGTTAGCATTGATTAAACATTCGGCATAATTAACGACGTCAAATATGTCGTTAATATAAATATTAAACAGTAAAGGACCCAGATGGCTACCCTGTGGAACACCAGAAGAAACCTACACAGGATTAGAAAAAAAAACCATTAACCGAAACAATCTGGCATCTCTATATAGGATAGATAGGAAGCAAGCCATTGCAAAAGTTTCCCCTGAACACCAAACTTCATGAGATTAAACAGAAGTAAGTTGTGATCCATCCGGTCGAAAGCTTTACTAAAATCCGTATAAACTGAATTAACGTGACAAGAATCATCCAGAGAAGATAAGAGGCATATTCAAGCAAGTTACTCTCAACCGAGCGACCAGCAAAAAAAAACCATGTTGTCTACAATTGATTTTAGAGTTAAGGGCAAAGAATAGTGCATAAACTACTTTCTCAAACATCTTCCCAAATGCTGGCAAAATAGATATGGGGCGGTAATCAGGTATAACACCACGGTCCCTTGATTTAAAAATGGGAAGAACAAAAGCCCGCTTCCACAATGAAGGAAAGACACCCATTATTAATGAAGCATTAAATAAAATAGTCAAAGCAAGGGATAGAGAGTGTGAACATTCCTCGATTAAAATTGATGGAATACCATTAGTACTAATACTGTCTATTATGGGGAAATCTAAAGACAAACGGGATGTTATGTTTCTCACAACCAAAGGTGATCCTACAATGATACAAATGAGAAACAAAATAGGTATAATTACACAATAACAAAGTGTTGTTTTGTACCCTCTGTGGTGTATAACAGAGAAAAATCATTTATTGATGGCTTTGATCAACTCGAGTCTTATGGGACACCTGTTCATCTTGGCATAGAATGCAGGTATTAATTTTTTTGTTTTCTTACATGATAGCTATCATTTTAATATGTTGGCAAGCATTGGGCCAGAGATGACCTTGCACACTTTTTAGGTGTGTTTTATAGTGTATCACAATAATACACATGAGCATTAACACGTAACGCACCGTGTATCTGAAAGTTTAAATTGTAAAATATTTTGATTAGCGCCTTTTATAAAATAATCAAAACATTCTTTCAGATTTAAAAAAGGAATATTTTTTAATGTTAAATTAAAATTTCGATGTTAATTCCTTTTTAATCCTTGAATACAAACAACTATTATCTTCCTAGTTTGTAATAGTTTATGCTTAATCGTGAAAACAACGGCCTTTAAATGCCAAGAATGAATTATACGTGGTTCTTACTTGAAACTGGTAACTTGAGAAACAGTCCATCCGGATTCAGTAACGTTCATTAGTTTCAGATTGTAATGAAACATAGGAATTCCGGTCGTTTGAACGACTTCCTTTGCAAAAAATGGATCAAACGGTGGAATGTTCCATTGGGGAACACCTAAAAATAATTCAATGGTTAGTATCATAATAATAATTTTATTTTAATTATTAAAAGTTACCTGTTTTGAAATAAGGACGAACATTATTTAATGCATCTTTTATACAATGGTCGAACTCAGGATCATCCATATGACAGTTCTCGAAAGCATTTTCTAAAATTTACAGAAATATTAATAAATTGTTTTTTACTACTTTGTTTACTACATTGGTGAAGGTGGACAATATTTTTGTTTATACAAAAAACTAGGTTACGCATAAGGAAGTAAATACTTGAAGATTGAATTTAACTTTTACTCTACATCGTACTCGTTTTATTTTTTGATTACCACACGTTTTGAAAAGTATAAATTACGAAAGATATATCGTAACAACAAAACGATAAATCCTCCTTTCTAGTTTACTTCTTTATTTTTTATTTATTCTTTTTAGATTTAGGTGATAAACGATTAGTTAGCTACGATGTGCAACAAACAACAACGTCTATTATTTTTATTTAAGTGCATGTTAATTCATCAACCTCGACTTACCAAAGTTGGCATAAGCCGGCATAAATTGTTGACCTATAACAAAAACGCAGCACTGAAAGTGATTCATTTTTTAATTGAAAGTGTATGTATTTAAGAAAGGAAGTATAAATTTTAATGCCGGGTAATCATTGTGCATAGATGAAAGCTTGCGAACCGTGAACTTTCCAGATTACAAGGAAGTGATATAAAAAAGATTGTGTTACACTAGGGTCAGCGCCAACGCCCTAACTATTTTAAATGTCGCTGTACTTCCCAAATAGAAAACGCAACTTGTTGTATAATCAAACGTTGGGCTCGTTATTATCTATTGGTATGTAAAAGAAATATAATAAAGTAGAGTTTAACTTCCTACTTCGATCTACTTCCACTTTCCATTCACTTGGTTTGATTTACATTCCAGATAAAACGCACGATATCTTTCAATTAATTATAAATTGATGTAAATCAAATTTTTATATGGAATTTTCTAAAATTTCTAAATATTAATTCATAAATTATTATATTTTAACTTAACCCTTTGTGTCCCGACGGTACTTTAAAGTACCTGTAGTTTTAAACACTTATTTTAAAAAGAAACCATTGAGCTTTAATTTAAAATAAGTCTAATTTCTTAATTTCAATAAACACAGCTTTCAGGAATTTTTAAATTAGCATCTTTTTTGACACTTTTAGGTTATACGAAAATGTAAGTTTTGTTTCAACATTTTTTTTCTCAATATTTTTCCAATGTAACCCATCAATTATTATACATCATTTTAAAGAGAAAGCTTTGAACTTTAATTTAAAATAAGTCTCATTCCTTAACTTCAATAAATACGGCTTCCAGGAAACTTTAAATTAGCATCTTTCTTGACAGTTTTAGGTTATACGAAAATGTAAGTTTTGTTTCAACATTTTTTTCTTAATATTTTTCCAATCCAACCCATCAATTATTACACATCATTTTAAAGAGAAAGCTTTGAGCTTTAATTTAGAATAAGTCTCATTCCTTAATTTCAATAAATACGGCTTCCAGGAATTTTTAAATTAGCATCTTTTTTGACACTTTTAGGTTATACGAAAATGTAAGTTTTGTTTCAACATTTGTTTTCTTAATATTTTTCCAATCCAACCCATCAATTATTATACATCATTTTAAAGAGAAAGCTTTGAGCTTTAATTTAAAATAAGTGTCACTCTTTAACTTTAATAAATACAGCTTCCAGGAAACTTTAAATTAGCATCTTTTTTGACAGCTTTAGGTTATACGAAAATGTAAGTTTTGTTTCGACATTTTTTTTCTTAATATTTTTCCAATCCAACCCATCAATTATTATACATCATTTTAAAGAGAAAGCTTTGAGGTTTAATTTAAAATAAGTCTCATTCCTTAATTTCAATAAACACAGCTTCCAGGAATTTTTAAATTAGCATCTTTTTAGACACTTTTAGGTTATACGAAAATGTAAGTTTTGTTTCAACAATTTTTTTCTTAATATTTTTCCAATCCAACCCAACAATTATTATACATCATTTTAAAGAGAAAACTTTGAGCTTTAATTTAAAATAAGTCTCATTCCTTAATTTCAATAGACACAGCTTCCAGGAAACTTTAAATTAGCATCTTTTTTGACACTTTTAGATTATACGAAAATGTAAGTTTTGTTTCAACATTTTTTTTCTTAATATTTTTCCAATCCAACCCATCAATTATTATACATCATTTTAAAGAGAAAGCTTCGAGCTTTAATTTAAAATAAGTCTCATTCCTTAATTTCAATAAACACAGCTTCCAGAAAACTTTAAATTAGCATCTTTTTTGACACTTTTAGATTATACGAAAATGTAAATTTTGTTTCAACATTTTTTTTCTTAATATTTTTCCAATCCAACCCAACAATTATTATACATCATTTTAAAGAGAAAGCTTTGAGCTTTAATTTAATATAAGTCTCATTCCTTAACTTCAATAAATACGGCTTCCAGGAAACTTTAAATTAGCATCTTTTTTGACAATTTTAGGTTATACGAAAATGTAAGTTTTGTTTCAACATTTTTTTTCTTAATATTTTTCCAATCCAACCCATCAATTATTATACATCATTTTAAAAAAAAAACTTTGAGCTTTATTTTAAAATAAATCTCATTCCTTAATTTCAACTAATACTGCTTCCAGGAATTTTTAAATTAGCATCTTTTTTGACATTTTTAGGTAATACGAAAATGTTAGTTTTTGCTCAATATGTTTTTTCTCAATATCCTATCAGATTTTCGTCGTTCTGTAGCTACAGGTTTGATAAATAAATAAGTAGAACTAACACTAGACCTAGAACTAGAAACGTTCTGGTTTAGCCGTCTTAAGAGACATACGGCTAAACCCGAATGTTTCTAGTTCTAGGTCTAGTGTTAATTCTAATGCTAGTGTTAGTAAGTAATACAATTACTTTTAGTATAAATTAAAACTTTTAACTTCTTTTATTTAATTTAAAAAAGAATCCTTAGTGATAATGATGTAAAACAATGTCCTACTTTAGAGAAACTCATAAAACACGCATGGTCGTTTTCTTACAAAATACCTGCAAGCGTAATCATCTAAAGAAAATGAGGTTGATACATCTTTAAAAACAAATAGGTTATAGAAAATGTTAAAAATTATATAACATATAATCGATTTGTAATTATAAAAGGAATGTAACGATATAACAAAATCATTTCGGAAGTGAAAATTACATAGCATTGACATTCTAAAAGAAATTATATAACTTTCTCCGATCTAGATTTGAATTTAAAATTCAACCTTGTTGATAAATTAAATTTGTATGCACAATAATAAATTGACTTACCGAAATTAATTTGTTGACTTTGAATCTGAATACTTAATCCAAATACCAAAACGGCACCTTGAATAAATCTTCTGTGATAATCTTTCATCGTATCGAACCGGTGATGTTATTCTTCAATGATCTCCTGCTACGACTGGTCGATTGCGAGTTAACGATTCCTAAGGAAAGGTGACTTGGGTGCCCCTCCTGATTCAAACTGGAAAATTCGAACGAGATACATTGGAAAAAAATAAAAATTTTGAAAAAATCGAAATCACCACTTTATGGGGGTAAACTAGAGCGGATTGGTCGTTCTACGACCAGGAAGAAGTAATTACTTTTGTTCCACCGGACACTGAATGTTACAGGGGAGATAGAAGGATAGAAGAATCGTGAGGCTTTCACTTTCTTTCGATGCTGTAACGTGAATATTGTTAAAAGTTACTCTAAAGTCGATTTCACTAGGAATTCTACTTTATTTATTTTGGTTGTTTTTTAGAAATATGTTATGAAATTTAAGTACATAAATTTCAGCAAGTTTATAAATGGCATTGGTAGGTGAGATGATATTTGATTTAACACATTGCGATTTCTACATTTTTTTGAATGATTAACAAGTTGTTGTGAAAATTAAAGATGTAATAAAAAACATCATCAAAGTTTAAGTGTCTTCTTGTAATGTTAAGTTCTATTTAAATTGCAGAAAATATGTTATTATGTTTTAAATTATTTTTATTTGTTAGGCAATCAGCTATGAGAAGGGGAATGCTTGGTTGCCTAAATGTAAATTAAAAAAATTTTCTTTTATGAAATCTTCATAAATAATGTATAAGATGCAAATTAAATTGCAAAGGTGACGTCGTTTTCAAAAAAAACAGGTCATACAACCAGAAGAATAACTCAAAAATGATCTTTCATAAATACACCAAAGTTGTATTATGAAAAGAAATAATGATTTTCTTTTCATTTTATATTCAATGTAAAAAAACAGCGATTTTGCACGCAAGAGTACGACGCGATAACGTAATTTATTCTCAATTCTCCAAAGATTTTTAGTGTCAGTTTAAAAATAGAAACAAATTAAGAAAAATGCCCAACATCGTCTATTTTAAGAATCTTTTGTGACATTTGACGTAATCTCCTGATGATATTACGAGTAATGTAGCGAAACCGGTAGACAGAAATAACTAAAATAAAATCCATTGGAAGTGCAAAATCGCTGTTTTTTTACAAAACTTATTTAGCCATAAACTAGACAATTAATCGTTTTTAACCTTATGTAGGCTTGGTAAGTATATTTATTTCCTTTCCCTCTGCTTCAGATAGCTTTTTGTAGAAGGTCTTGTTGTGGTAACCTACAGTAACCTTGATGAAACAGATCAATGTGATTGTACAAAAGTGTATCTTTCTGAAAGTTTAAACTCCCCCAGCATATTAGCAACTATAGAAGCATAATGTGGAAGCTTTTTGTTGTGGAAGAACTTGGTAATAACCTTCTTTAGTGATACCCATTCCACTTAGTAACTATAATTTGAGATTGAAGGTTAGAATCTGATTTCGTGTATCAGGCCCAACTTATACACCTTCTTTCAATTTTGCTTCTGACAGATGAGGAAACTTCTCGCAGATGTAATATCTAATTTCATTTGTAGACAGAAACTTTTTGTTTTCTGCGGTTCTTGCGCAGAATGGCCTTCTCTCCTTGTGTTAAAGATTTTCTATCAGGTAAATTTTTTCTGGCCTAATGTTGATTCCTTGTTCTACTGTCTTATTCACACACGAAACATGGGTATTTTGTAAGACACCTTTAATTCACCATGTATCTGCAACCTTAACCATAATACTTTATTTTATTAAATCAAGATTATCATACGTTTTCTTAATTGTGTAATAGAACGGTCAATAGGCGAGCTTTAGATGAATCTATACACATCATCCATTATTCCTTTTATATTCAATTCCGAATTCATCCGGACGCAGATAACAGTGGGAAGGGACACTGAAAGATATGGGGAATTAACGATGGAAAGGTTTTCAAAATACTTAGTGAGGGAAGGGAAGAGGCTGGTGGCCAGATTTCGTTGTAGTAATGAGTAGAGAGCGAATAGGTACTGGGCGGACGATGGAGAGGTGATGTATTCTGTGCGGAGATGAGAGATGAGAGAGGAAGAAAAGGACTGGGAGCAATTTTGAAGATTTTGGAAGAAGGGGTAAGACAGGGGAACGATGAGGGAGGTGGTTGCACGAGGAGACGGAGAAAGAGGGGCAATAATAGAAGTTAAGTTAAGTTTGGTTTATTACACAGGGTTATTATAAATAATGATGGACCCATTTTTAAAGATGAATATTTATTAAAGTACAGATCCAAAACGAACAATCTTTATACTAATGGAAAGAGGAAGTTTCAAAGTTTTTTTGCAATACACTATAAATGTTCAATGAGTCCACCGTCCGCTGCACGGCAAACATCTATGCGGTAGCCGAACTCGTCCCACACACGAGCAAGTGTATCTACTGTTACTGAGTGCACAGCAGCTGTGATACGGTTTCGCAGATCGTCCAGAGTTGTTGGTAGAGGTGGGACGTAAACAGCTTCCTTAACAGAATTCCATAAGAAGTAATCACATGGAGTGAGATCAGGAGATCTCGGTGGTCAAAAGTGGAGAGCCAGGTTTTCATTTTCCCTGCGACTTATCCAGCGTTGAGGAAGGGCTGCATTCAAAAAGCCTCCGTCCTGTTGGAAAATGGAGTCCTGCGAATCTTCCATAACTTGAGGAAACAGCCATTATTCCAACATGTGCAGGTACATTGTTCCAGTTACAGATCGTTCCGCAAAGAAAAATGGTCCATAAACCTTTGTACGAGATACGGCACAGAACACGTTTACTTTCGGTGAGTCTCTTTCGTTTTGCAATGTTAAATGTGGATTTTGCAAACCCCATATGCGAACATTATGTCTGTTGACTTTTTCACTAAGGTGGAAAGTCGCTTCATCACTAAAAATGATACGCTGCAGAAACGCGTCATCCTCCATCATTCCTAGCACATAACTACAAAATTCGAAACGCTTCTCTTTGTCATTATGGTTGAGAGCCTGCACAAGTTGTAATCGGTAAGGCTTGTACAGCAAACGCCGCCTTAGAACTTTCCAGACCGTGATGACTGGGATATTCCAAGTTCACTACTAGCTCTATTGGTAGAATTTGTTGGACTGCGAACAAAACTTTCTTCAATACGTCTAACATCATCCTCTGACACACGCGGTCGATTGTGCTTTTCCCTTTACACGTACTTCCAGTTCGTTGAAATTGCGTAAACCAACGCTTAATGCTTTTTCTAGTTGCTGGTTCGATACCGAATTTTGTACGAAATGCCCGCTGCACTACAATTTGTGACTCACTTCTTGCGAACTCAAGAACGCAGAAAACCTTGTGCTCCACGGTAGCCATCTCACTCACTTTTGACGAAGACGTACATATTTATTGTTATAAGACAAGAAGATGAATAATAAAATTATGTTTATTTGTCGCTACGGATGATATCAGACGGTGGCCCATTGAACATTTATAATGTATTGCAAAAAAACTTTGAAATTTCCTCTTTCCATTAGTATAATGATTGTTCATTTTGGATTTGTACTTTAAAAAATATTCATCTTTAAAAGTGGGTCCATCATTTATAATAACCCTGTATATTATACAGGAAATTGTAAATATTTAGTTAACAATAGAAAGCATTATTATTATTCAATTCCGAATTTTTTCCTTGATCCGCCAATATTTGAGTAGTACATTAAAGCATTTGTTTATTTGGAAAATTGGAAAAATTTCTCCTCTTCGTTTCCCACTGGGGTTGGATACTGTGATAGATGCTGCTGCAGTGTAGCAACTAGGAAGTGATTTGGAGGCGAAGCATCAAAAGGCCAAGGTTCGATTTGGACTGTAAATAAAAATCTAAAGCTCTAAAAACATCTTGACTTCAAAGTTGTCATTTTGAACTCTTCTCCATCATCATGCTATGCGTAGTGGTAAATACTTCTTCACTATTGTGGCTCTTAATTGTAATCAGTTTATTTAATGAATCGTTTTGACATATTGAAAGTATGTAAAGTAAATTGATTAAACGCAAGTTAGAGGTCAATGTGACATGATGCAGTTTCTATTCGTGTCAATACTGTAGACTGCAGTTTCGATTTTGGAGATTCCAGCAAATTTGACATTTTATGTCGTTTTAGTTTTAAAATTAAAGAAATACCTACTAACTCAAGCTGTATAGCTTACAAAAGTTTTGTATTGTACAAGCAGCAAAATTTATTTTAAAAACGAAGTTGGAGCACAGGCAGTTGGTAAAGTTTCTTAAATAATTAAGCAGCACAGAAGATTCGTTCACTATTAATGTAGTGAAGAAATCTTCACTACCTATTTTAATTGTAAATGATGTTGACGGAAGTGAGTATGACAAAATTGCATATGAAAGTATATAGTTGACTGGAACAAAAAAGTTAAAGAAACATCTCGTCTCATACAAAATAAATACAAACAGCATCTGATTCTGTATAGACAGCAAAACCCGAATGATTCTAATTCTAGGCCTTGTGTTAGTTCTAGTGATAATGCTCGGTAGCGTTAGTTGTGTAGCATATTTTTATTAAATTAAAACTAGAACTATAATTCTCCTAGGCGTAATAAACAAAACAAAATGATTTAATTTGCAATAATTATAATTTTACAAATTCATTCTTACTACTGATTGTCGTTGTCTAGTTAATTTTTTCAGTACTGGGCTTACAGGTTTTGGAATTTTTGGTAATTGCCTTGAAACTTTTGATGGTTCTGGATGCATGTGCTGCTGTTCAAATTTCCTGCGGGTTTTGTCATAGATTATTGTGTATCAGCTTTAGTCATTTTTGTCATTTCTCTAGTGGGAGTATTATTTTCTGCTTCTGGTGACACGACAGGTTTTATTAAGATTGAAGTCGGAGATGTCATATTGTCATCATTAGTAATTGAGACCATTTTCTCTACTTCAGATCTCTGTTACTAACTTTACTAAGTAATGCAATTTCCCTAGTTTCTCAACTATTGTTCCTAGTTTTCATAGGATTGATGCAGAATAATTTCTGGATGGCGAAATTCCTTGCTTACGACTGTTTGGGCAGCATTGTTTTTAATAGAGTCTCGATACCGTAACAAATCCAATTCTTGTTCCTAAATTTCTTTTCATAATAATTCTGATGGGGTTTTGTCTGGTCCGGTTAGTGATGTTGTACTGTATCTTAGCAAAATCTCATAAAGCTTCTCATTCTTTTTGATTCGTAGAACATTGCTTTTAGGTGCTTTTTTAAAGTTGCGACATACCTTTCTGTCTGACAGTTTGTAGCTGGATGTCCTAGTGCGATGAAATTCTGACGAATACCATTTCTATTGTAGAAATTCAGGAACTCTTGGAATTTGAAAATTGTCGCATTATCAGAAATTAAAATTTATGGTAGACCTGTTCTGTCCAAGAGCTCCTTCATCATATACAGGATTGATGCTGTTGTTGGAGCTGTTTTTGTAGTTATTATTTCTGGCCATTTAGACTTAGCATCCATCATAATAAAAAAGAAGTGCCCTTGAAAAGAACCTGCATAATCCATATGCACTCTTTGCCATACTTCCTCTAGAATATTCCATTTATGTAACGGTAGTCTGTTGGTGTTTTGGGACATGATTTTACGAGATCTTTGTCTAAAAGCAAAAATATGAGTCAACGGTTTGTTGTCTTGTGAATTTTCGGCCATAGATGTATACGAAACATTTTTGAAATTTCCAATAAATGGTGGTGGCTTCTTTATCCAACTGGTAGTAATTCTTTTTAGCTGCTGTGAGAGATCTGCTAGCGAAAGCGATGGGCCGTTCGTCCAGAGCAATGATATGAGACAAGACTGCAGATAGACCTACTAAGCTGGCATCTATGGCCAGTATTAGTGGTAATTTCGGATTATATCGCACCAGTACTTGGTTGATAGCAATTTCTTTCTTGATTCGTAAGAATGCTTCACAAGCGGTGGTCCACTTGACTCTTCAACATTTGATAAATGGGGTGCAGTATTGACGCCACATTTTGGATAAATTTTGACAAACGCTCATACTTCATTAATGGTTGTCGGGCGCGGCGCTCGCAATCTTCCACTTTCTCTGGAGTCTTCTGGATACTGGTTGAGCTGACTTCGTGATCCAAATACCTTATGGAGGAGGCGAAAAGGTTGCATTTCTCTCTGTACCATTTTTGGAATTCGTTAGGGGCTGTTTTAATTCCAAAAGCAAGCCTCTATGAACCTCGATGAGTTGAAAATGTTTGTAATTATTGAGCATCTATATCCATCATTAAATGCTGATATGCTTTATGGATATCCAACACGCAGAAAACTGTACTTTGTATCAGATTATCGATTTTTTGGTCGCAGTTTATCTCCCCAAAGGATCTGAATGACTTTTAACCGAGGAACTCAAATTTGAGGCAACCCATCAAACTTAAGATCATATTTAGTTGCCTTGTTATTAATGGAAAGATCATAAAATCATTAAACAGTAAAAATATCCACAATAAAATTGTTGTAACGATTTATTTTCTCAAATAATTGTTTAACCTAAAAAATAGATTGTTTAATAAATATTGCAATTTAAGTATTTTAACTTTTTAGACAACTTAAAAAGCACTAAATTAAATTTAGTTGCTTAATCTTTGTTTTCAATATTTAAATCTTCTTTTAATAAATTTTTATACATTTCGCAATAAAATCATTTCAAAATCGACATTAAAATTGTTTATAATAATCTTTTTTGGGTTCTAACTAAAAATCTTCTTTTACAGAAGAATTTTTCTTAGAATCAATCAACGCGGAGTACAATAGGAGAAAGTTATAGACAAGTTTTATATATGGATGTTTCATTCCATTTGTCACTGAAACATTAAATAGCCAACATCATCGTTGCAATATAATCCGGTGACTTACCACCTTTCTTAGTGTGAAATAAATTGAAACTTTCGTGTTCCATTCACCAAACGGTTGTGAACGAGTGAAAATGTTCTTTGCAGCGTTCGTTGGTTTATTTCTATTCGAAGTTTTCGGAGATGCTAATTCAGATACCATTCGTAAGTTATGTATTAGAAGAAATTAAAAAATTTTGATTAAATAAATATCGATAACACCAATTTTCTTTTTTAAATTGACTTCTAATTTCAAAATGTGTTTTAATAACAATCTCTAATTTACTCGGTTAATTACTGACTTTCACCATTTCTCTTTCATCGATGGTAGATCTTTTTTAAGAAGAAATCGAAAGCGTCCGAATTTGACCTGTAGACATCATTTTTAGTTATTATGTAATTTTTATGTAATTAATCGAAAAATGTTTAACTTTTTTCTTTTTTATTATTTTAGTTGTAAATCTTTATTTATTTATTTATTTTAATTACATAAGAAATGTGGTTTTGCGTTAAGAAATTTAGAAATTAATTGATTGTAATTAAAAGTTTCTCGTATTGCTTCACTAAAATAATTAAGCCAATTCTCTTTTAGCACCTTACGTTAAACAATGTCACGAAGGGGATCCAAAAATTATAACATGTTTTATTAACTCTTTACATCATTTACAACCGTATTTAGCGAGTGGCATTAAAGAAATTGAATTACCATCGGTGGAACCTTTTAGAATGGAGGAATTATCGTTGTCTTTAACAACTGGGCCTAATGGATATAAAGTTACTTTAAGCGATATTGATATCTACGGAGCTAGTAATTTTACGGTTAAAACTTTAAAGTAAAGAAATTTTGTGTGTTTAATAAAATAAAACTCTCTACAAGTTTTATTTTATAAAACAGACGTTTAATACAAAATTCAAATTGATTTTGTTATAAATAGATTGAGTGAAAATGGAAAACCTTTCCACGCCGAAGTTTTCCTTCCAGAATTAAGAATAAACTCACAATATGCGAGCAGTGGGGTTTTATTAATTCTCCCAGCAAGTGGAAAAGGAACTTTTCATGGAAGATTTAGTAATAACATAATTTTTATATAAAAATCATTAATTTAATAAAATTATTTCCAGAGGATGTAAAAGCCCAAGTTAGCGGCACAATTAGTCAAAATTTTAAAGAAAACAAAAAATATCTTCACGTTGATAAATTAAATTTCGATATGGAAGTTGGTAACATCAATATGAGTGTAAAAAACGTGTTTAGAAATAGCCGCATTTTAGGTAAGTTTCGATTTTTTTCTTTTTTTGTTTGGATAATCACATTTTAGCAACAATAATCGCACGTTGGATGTAATGTAAATAGAAAGTTAAAGTTGGATTTATCACAATAGATTTATTTTTTCTTCAATGCTCTTGACACGATTAGATTTAAAAAAAATCTAACATGAATACTAACTAAGTTACTTCAATTGCTTAAATTCATGGTCGAAATAAAACCAAAACAAAAATTTATAAATACGTTAAGTTTGATAAATCCGGTAACGTTTTGTTTTTGTTTGTTCTGCTTTTGAGAACGAATGCAAGAAAACCTGGTCCACTCTAGGATTGCTTAATATTTAAGAGTTTAAACGTACAAACTTTCGAATTTTAAAATTACTTCCACTCCACGCAGTGTATATTTACGTTTTGAACACGAAAATAAGAAAAGATTTTCTTCTTTTACGTCTTCTAGAAAGTTTATGTGTGTCGTTATTATTTAGTTTTTTAATTAATAATTGTTTTCTTTTATAGTTGAAGCAATGAATTTGTTCTTAAGAGAAAACGGCCAAGAAGTTCTTCATTTAATGACACCGCAACTAAGAAGTAAATTATCGTCACTGTTCCAAGGAATAGCGAACCAATTGTTAACTCATATTCCTTTGGACGTTTTTTATGTACCTAAAACAACTCAATCCTAAAAGATATCGAAAAATTGCAATCACTTTACTATATTTATCCTAGCTTTAATAATTTTTTTTTGTATATTTTAGTTTTTAATAAATAAAACATTCTTATTAAATTAATTTTTACATTCTCTAACATTAAAAAGAAATGGTGAGAAAGTAACCATACTCTCATTTAAACTCATTTATAGTCCATCATAATTATCTATGGACGTTGAACTTTTGGCTAGTTAAATCAACTTGGAAAGTTTATTATACAGGGTGAGACAAAAGGAATAAAAATGTATGGAAAGAACAAAATACAAGTAAATGATCATTCAATTTCAAATCAAAATGAAAGATATTTAGAACTAACTGATGGTGCCTCAGAATCAAGTTGCATTTTTATTTATTGTTCGAAGTTTATCATAAGATTCATCAACCAGCACATGAATAATTCACACTGACCAACCAATTTTCTTTCATTTTTAATTACACGTAAAATGTTCATTTCCAAAGAAAAAGATCTTCTGGATTGAGTTCAAGAAGTGTTAGTCAACTATACCTTAAGCTGTATAATGCGCAGAGTTCTATCCTGCTAATAACCCATTTCTAATCTTTCATGAAACACATCATCTAATAATTCCCTCAGAGTTTTAAAATAAAAATTAGTTTACAAACTGTACAGCACTAGTTCAAATAGTACGATTCCAACTAAACTATTTAGACTTAGAATTGATCATATCATAAACCATATACGATCAGCAAATCTCGTAGAACTATGATCAATTTAGTTTTCTCCCCTTTTTGTGTACGAAGTGATCGTTGATTACCTTTATTTGTGAAAGGGCTTACTATGGTTGATAAATGATTATGTTTTTGAATAACAAGTTTGTGCTTGAATATGACAATATAATTCTGTTTGGGTTTAGCAGGGAGACATCAACGTCGGCTGCAACTATGGATCGCGTGGAAGGTGCTTTGAGAATAAATTATCTATTGGTTTTATGACCTAGCGAAGGCATTTAATTATCTGTCATTGGTCCTTCTACTCTGAAAGATTCACTTCCTACATTATATAAGGACACAGAGATAAACATGATATGGCAGAACGCCAAACTGCTAACAAAACCCTATCTAAATATGGTTCTATGGTTTGGTATCCTTATTATACTTCTCACCAGCTCATGCTCGAGAGAGTGCAGAAGAGGTTCTTAAAATACTTACATTTTAAAACAGTTGGTCAGTATCCGGAGCGAGGTGTTGACTACGTTGCGTTATTGGAAGAATTTAATTTTTCATCTTTGAACAATCGTAGAGAAGATGCTAGTAGAAAATTTTTATCGAACATCGTCAATTGTACTGTCGACTCACCTTCACTTCTTGCTCGAGTTGGATTCATTATACCCAGACCTGGTATCAGGAATAGCAATACATACCAGGTGCCGATCGCTAGGACCAACGTTCTGATGCGGGCGCCTCTGACACATATGGCACGGAACGCAAATAATGAAGTTACCACTTAAACTATACAGTGCGTTTCAAAAGTAACGGATAAATTCGATAAAATTATTATAAACAATTTATGAAAAAATCGCTGAAACGGGTCTAAAGATTTAATTTTTTTGCAATTTTTTGGTGTA